AACAGTCATGAGGAGTTTAATGTTGAGGTATGCAAACTTTTTCGTTCTTTTTGAATAATACAATAGGATCTTTTATTCTTTACAGATCAAGTTTGGCACTTTATCAGACTACTTTGCAACACTTTTTCAAAACACTGGCATTGCTGCAAAACGCTCTGCGCAGATGGATACTTCCAAATATTCTACCGTTTTTCCATCATTAGTTGGCGACTTTTTTACGTATTCGGACAGAGAAGACCATTACTGGAGTGGATACTACACTTCCAAGCCTTTCTACAAACGATTTGAAAGAGTTCTCGAGTCGCATTTGCGTGCAACTGAAATTCTCTTTGTGATGGCTAATGTTGCGGCGAACGATTTTAAAAGAAGCACAGCCGATCCTTTTGAAGACATTATAGGTGATTTTGTGTATGCAAGACAGAACTTGGCTCTGTTCCAGCACCATGATGGCATTACGGGGACGGCAAAGGATTTTGTGGTTAAGGATTACGCAAACAGGTAAGCAGGACGTTTCTTTAAAACTGTATTGCTGTTAATCAGTTGTACTTGTACATCTTTAGAATGTACCGATCTTTTGGCATACTCGAAAAAGTGGCTTCTGCTTCTCTACAGGCAATTGCCGCCAATCAAGTTGGACAAAAGAGCCTTGACCTGAAATCAGCGCCACTAAGTCTAGAGTTTATGGAGCGATTTCCAAGTGAAAGCACGCCACTTCGAAAGAAAATTTTCTCTTTGGGATCAGGCGAAAAACAGTATGTTTAAGATTTCTTTTTAAAGTTACATGTTGGTAATTTAAATTTTTTAAAATCTTTAGCTACTTTGTTCTTTACAACTCTCTCGGCTGGACACAAGAAAGCCAAGTGTTTTGTTTTGCAGTCAATTGGACTTCAGGCGCAATGCCCACCGACTGGTGTCTCTCGCAATCTGGTTCCGGTCAAATCATCGATGATTTGCAGATCAATCACATTTGGTCTATGGAGCAGTTGGTAGAGAACCAACGGGAGATTTGCTTCCAACCATCGCTTAGTGCAGTGTCTTTGGAGCAGTTTTGCCTCGGTGACTGTCGATGCGGCGACCAGGAGCAAACACTGGCCACACTGTACCAGAAGAAGGAGAGCTTTGTGACGCTGTACAACTCGCACAAGCGGCAAGCTTCAACTGTGCCAACTGATTCACATATTCTGTCGAAAATGGCTCCACCGCCAAAGGAAAATCTTACAATTGAGAATGAGCGAGTGCAGCTCAAGTTTGACGCTGAAAGTGGTTTGCTCAAGAGAATCTCCATACTTGATCCAGTCGCTGGAGCAGACTGGATTCATTTAGATGCCAAAGCACAACTGATGACCTACGGCACTCGAAAAGGCGGCAAGTCAGTACCTAAATCGGGCGCTTACCTATTTCTGCCTGATGGAGACGACCCGAAGCCGTGGAATGCCTTTGGCAAGCCCATAATTCGTGTCACTTCAGGTCGAATTGAGTCGCGATACGAGCTCATACTCAGCGAGCCTCTCTCCATGTACATACGCTTTTCGCTGTACAGAGGGCGAAGGTCGGTGGAGTTGACCACAGGTACGAATGTCTCTTGTGGAGGTGTCATCGCTGTAATACATCTCTTTTACAGAGTTTCATCTGATGGGTCTTTACGCTGCCAATAGAGAGTTGATGATGCGATTTGAAGTTCCAGCAATTGAGGTGCGTACAGTTTTGTTTTGTGGTCAATACTTTGTTAATCAGATACCTTTTTTTCAATCAGAACCACGATCGCTTTTACACTGACTTGAACGGCTTTCAGATGATTGGTCGAAAGTGGTACAGCAAGATTCCTCTTCAAGGCAATGTTTATCCGCTTAATACGATGGCCTTTTTTGAAGGTCTCCACAAGGGACAAAACTTGCGTTTCAACATTATCAGCGGACAGCCACTGGGTGTTACATCAAGCAAAACGGGTACTTTTGACGTCTTTCTTGACCGTCGACTTACTCAAGATGATGCTCGTGGCCTTAACCAGGGTGTAATTGATAATAAGCGAACTCGAGAAACCTTTCGCCTGCTCATTGAACAGCCCAGCGCTGCAGTGAGTGTGGACAATCCAAAACAGACTTCTGGTGCCATGTTCGAGTCACAGTCGCTACTGAATCCAATTATCGGCATGGCAAGCAGCGGTCCAAGTAAAGCATCATCAACCGGTCCAATATTACCTGAATCGGCCACTTCTCATCAGTTTCTCCTTCCGCATTCCCTGCCGTGTGATCACCACCTGCTCAGTCTACGTCGTGCCACAAAGCGGCCAACAGAGGTGGCCATTCTGCTGCATCGTTTTGGCCTTTCATGTGATTCTTCCTGTGTAGTACCGGCGGCAAACAACGTGTCCATTTCGAACCTCTTTCCAGCTTTTGTTCTCTCTAAATTTCAATCTAATCGCCTAGTGCCACGGGGGATTTCTTTGCTTGATCCACCCGACAAAGACACTGACCGCGAGCTGCCGCTCAGTGCAAGTCTGAACATTCCACCAATGGAGATTGTTGCCTACAAAATGTACATGAAGAACGACAATGAGTAGTGTGCCAAAGTCAAGGAAGAGGAAGAGGCACTCAACTATTTCACTTTTTACCCCTCTACACCGCCATCTCAATTGTTATTCATTGTTATTCATTTTCATATCTCATCACTCTAGTCATAGTTTCAAAGTCATCCGTTTTTGTTTTACTAAATCTATCTTTTGTTTTGTTTAATAAAAAAGCATATCATAAAAATAATGAAAACGCAGCAAGTCTTGGTGTAAAATCGAATGAATTAGTTTAATGGAATAAGTTAAGAATAAATATCAAAGTCGAGTAAAAGATAGAGCATGCTGCTGCTAATGATGATGATAGGTGTGGGAAAGAGTTGGTAAAAGCGAACAAGACATGCTTACAAGTTTTCAAGCAGATATTTAGGATCGACTTTCTTGTTTTTACAGAGGCGGCGAGTGTGGCCCATTTGAAAGCAGTTAAAGCAAGTAATGCTGTGCGTACTTGGGCAACTCCGAACATAATGACCGGGGAGTTTGCAGTAGTTGCAGACCATATCCAATGGATACATTTTTGTGAGGTAGGTCATATTAGTGAGAAGTGAAGTAAGAAAGGATATCAGGCAAGTGAATTGCTTGCGAGGGCGTTGCTGCTTAAAAGCTTTCGCTAAACGAAGGTTCAGTTTTAAGTAGGCCCAGTTGAAGATTGCTGTCTCTAGGTTCTTGCGTTTCGGTTTGAGAGAGCGCAAGATGATGCGACACTTGACAAGTAGAACAACTAAATTGCGAATCGCCTCTTTTTGGTCCTTCTTTTCATCCATTGGTTTTAGCTTTTCAAAAGCGTTGCGGAACTTGGAATAGACCGTGTCCTCACTTACTTCATTGTTGGTGTCCAGCAAAACCTGGCGAATAGCTTCAGTTGAGTAGGAGCGGCGTGGAGCTGCCATGATGCGACCCAAATTCTGTTCTAGTGGACTTGGGCCAAACGAGAGGTGAAATGTCATTTCACTAGAAGTGACCTCGTTTTCAAAGTTTTCTTGCTGATAGCTCAGAGTAAAGTGAAAATCAATTGTTAAGTTCTTGGGTGCAACGGGACTTTTAAAGCGGCAGTTGGAAATAGTGCTCAGCTGGTGGCTGTTCGGTGAGTTAAGGTTAACTGAAGACACTGCTCGACATTCCTCTGTAGATTGGTGGCCAATTTGCCGCATAAACCAATCTGGCACGTCACTCGATCCGTGCACTAACGCTTTCTCAAATAAACGCTCCAACCGGGCAGTCCACTTCTTGGTGAGAGGGTGCTCCTCGGGGATCAAATCGACGACTTTGGCCATCATCTGGAGGTCGCTTTTAATTTGCTCCATTGGAAGAGAGGATAGTTTGAGCATCATTGACAGCTTCCAGTTGTAGCCTCGAAGTTCAGTAAGAACGCGAGCTTCGTTGAATGGAGTTGAGTGAGACATGATGACGGTGCTGAGAGCACTGGCAGTAAAGCAAGTCCAAAAAGAAGTGTGATGAAAAAGCACGATGCTGCAAGTGATGAGGACAAATGAGAGGCGGAATGAAGCAGCGCGTGTTGCTTTTATGCGCTAGCAAAAGGTCGATAAGGGAGCTGGTGAGGTACCAGATGAGACAGCAGTGCCAGCTGACTCACCTCAGCACATTCAGTCTGATCACTGCCACCTAAGCTGCATTTGAACTTTGCTGTACATCGAAGCTAAAGTGTCAAACAGGCGAAAACGCGCATTCATCAACCAATAAGAGACATCAGTGATGTCACATCACATTCAAGTGTCACTCATCACCAAGTGACACTTACTTGTGCGCTTCAAGCTTAACACTTTCATGTGATCAACTGTCGGCTATTTTCAATAAATTTTAGAAAAACAGTGATTTGTGTTTATTAAGTCAAAAAGTAAAATGAATATAAAAAATTCAGAAACAGTTACGAAAAAATAATTAAAACAGTTTAGGTACAAAGTTGAGCAGGACAGTTTTTAGAGAGACTCTTGAAGTTGCCTTTCTGTGATCTTGTCATTGTTGCAGTTTTTCTTATAATGACCGTATTGAAAACAGTTAAAACAAAGTGAAACAGGCTCCTTCTTTTGTCTAGATACTTGAACTTCAAAAGAGATAAAAGTAAGTAAATCAATTAGACTTTTGCTTCGGCTAGATTTTCCGAAAATTTTTGATTGAAGTTTCGGTGGAAGTTTAGAAAAAGCAAGATCATAAAATGATGCCATCAATTGAGGAAAAGCTTTTGTGAGAATAAAAGCTTTTGCAGTGAGTTCCAAAAGACTTTGAAGTCCGTAGTGGCTATGAACTTTGTCAAAATGAGCAAAAGCGTTTTCAAGTTTGCTAAAGGTGATTAGTCTTAAATCCGAGTCTTCAGCGACTACACATTGATTTCGACCCTCTTGTTTTAGCTTTTCCGTTGATAATTCGCTAAGATGTGTAGCAATTTTGCCGCTCCATTTGTTATGCAGCTGGGCAATTCTCTTCGGAACTCCATTGAGAATGCATTGCATCTTCTTAATTTGACGATGTAAAGTGCCCAACGGAACTGTTTGGGCAAGAAGTAAACGCTGAATGGACTCTTCAATGATGATCAACTCTCGGGTAGCTTTAGCAGCGACATTTTCATCATTTGGTCGCCTTTTCTTATTCTTTCCAGTCGGAAAGGGTGTAGCACAAGTCAGTTTTATGATCATCGAATCTGCCGGCACTGCATTCTCTTTGTTTTCTCTGTAGAAAGATGTGATTTGTTGGTTTGATTGATCCTTTTTGATGCCCTCTCCATTACAAGACGAATCGACCAACAAAGGTGGCTGTTGGTTGTTGTTCTTTTCAGCTGGCAGTTGAGCTAATTGCAAAAAGTTCGTTGAATTGGCAGAAGCACTGGACTCAAAAATAGAAACCTGCAAAAAAAGAAATTGTAAATAAAATATGGCAAAAGAACCTCTACTTTTCATTTCTACTGACAGTTGAACTCTTCATATCTGTTTTGATGTTGTGGCAGAAAGAAAACTGCATCCAGAGATCGGTCACTTTGTCGTTCCATTCAGCGAGCAAAGTCTCGTTTTCATGAGGGAAACATTGAAGAAGCTTTTCTAATTTTGCGAGTTTTTGTTGGAAAAGGGAAGCACAGCGATCTGCGTTGACCATTGGCAACAAAGCTGTAATCAACTTTTCA